AAACCAAATTATAGATATAAAATATATACAGATTTTACAATATCACATGACACGATAACATATTACTGAAATCCATTACTAAATTACGAAATGAAATTACAGATATAAAAACATGTACAGATGTATACAGATTGTAATGACAATATCACGTGACACTGATAGACTTTATTCAGATAAATACTACTTAAATCCATTACTGAATTTGTAAACCAAAATATAGATATAAAACATATACAGATTGTAAAGACAATATCACATGACACCAATAGCCTTTTCTCGGAAAACATATTACTAATATTCATTTTTGAATTATAAAATGCAATTATAGATTTAAAGAAAAAGTTACAGGTGTATACAGATTGTAACGACAATATGTATCCCTTAACCCCATACCACAAACGTCATATTATGAAGATTACATGTATGTATACCTAAAGCAAGAAATTAAACATTGTCTTGCAATCATGCTAAATGTGAGTCCTATGATCTAGTATAACTGAAAAACGATGTTTGCAGTTCACTGTTCACACCTTTCTGTCGGCTGTGAAAGTCGATATTAGAACCACAATGACAGCCCATTTTGACGCAAAAGAGCAATAATGAATTTTACATCTCAGGTATGACGTAATCAACATTTAACACTAAGGTATCAAATGCTTATCGGTGTTATACTATTAAAGTAAACAAAATAAGAAAAGAGCAAATATTGGTCGTATCGACAGTGGTAGGGGCAATCTTGAAAACTAATAATAAAATATACCGTCAATATAGGACAATCAAACCTACGACAAAAAAAATATAGATTCCTATTGAGAGGCACAAACAGAGGATATCACATTGAAATAAATCGGTTTTGAATGCAAATGTACCGCACCATTTCATTGTGACGAGTAAGACGTTAAAATTAATTGAGCATTAAATTCAAAAATGAATTCCGTGTATCTAACGCTTCCCAGTGACTGATGTATATCCAAACACATGTAAAAGTATTTTTTTATCACGTTATTCATACTTATTTACCGGATGATATTTATTAACATTTTTCTCCAAAGGGACAACATTTGGTCGCCATGCAGAACATCAATATGTGCAATAAAATTTCACACCTGAATGTGGGTCTTTTTTTACAGATATACACTCGTCACTCGTAACCAGTCATGTCAAACGTAAGTAATCAAATTACTTCAGAATAAATCACGAACTTTGAAATAACACTCTATCGTTGTCATTTTAAGAAACTGTAGGAGGAATAGGAGGATTGATTCGAACTTCATACAGAATCATACATTGTCTTTAAAAAGTATTAATTTTAAGACATCAAAAAGCAGTGAAAATCGAACCCCTCACTAAACGTGGCTATCATGAACGGACTGATTAGATTACGTTGTGCATTATTGGATAGCCGCCTGACTTTGTAGCTGGATTGACTGACTAGCCCTAACAGCGATAATACACAAAATAGGATATAACAAGTCGTCGATAAATACAGGAAGCAACAGGAACACACAGGAATTTTATCAGTCAGACGTAAAACACCACCACTAAAAGTCAAAAAGTGTTTAAAGCTTTAGCAATGCTATAGTTGACGTGTATCGACAGTCCCAGGTCCAAAATATTTCTTAGGAAAACTAGAGTAAGAAGGTAATAAAGGTGATTTTATTTTAGAGGGTTACCCCTGAACAATTCTCATTCACTACATTCTATAGTAAAATAGAATTAATATAACGTTTCTAACGTGTAACTTATGTGCAAAAGATTGTTGGTTTAAGCACTATATAAACCAACCAATGGCATTTATTCACTAATAAAAACTCACAAAAAGTGTTTGGAATCAAATGATCGTTCGTAAACATTCTATTTAGGCAGATATACAAAAATATATACCAGAAAGGAATTCATTTCTCTTACAATAAAACGTGATTTAATCGCAAGTTAGTCATTCCTATTCAGGTAAATAAGAATAATTATATTTGCCCGCGACTTCAAACACGTACGAAAATAAACGGAAATTACCTTTGACTCACTGAATACTGATAGTAGCTATGAATGTAAGCCTGTCGTGTGCCAGTTGGCCAAACCAAAACAGTTATCTACAGAGATGAATTTCTTCGGCTGTAATTGTTATACAGGAAAAATAATACGACAGATTTCTTTGTTGTTCAGTCTATTAAATTAGAATTAATGCAGTGTTTCCACTCACTGACTCGATCATTGATAGGTTAGTAGTCAAATACATGTAGAATTCCTTTTCCACCATATAACAAACATGTTAAAGGTACATTTATCGAACTAACTAGCTATCTTAACATTTTTTTCCCGTTACAGACCAAAACGACTAAAGTAGGTATAATAAAATGTGTTCCCACCGTGGAGGTAGGAAGAGGGTAAATATCTGGATTCTGAAACAATTTAAATAATTGTACTTCTGGACTGACACGACCCATGTTATAATATACACATTAAATATTGAATAATATTAACATATACAAAATAATAATAATGATAAATTTAATTATTTTCTAATAAAATCAAATCAGTAAAATTTTCCAAGTGAAGAAATATGCACGTGTAAAAACAGCAGTCTCTATTTTACCTGCCCTTCTATGAGATAAAATACCTTTTATAAGTTTCAGTCTTTTAGTTTTTTATCTGTAAAGATCTTGATGTGTTTTAAATCGATTTCAGGACCCAATCTCGTCTGAAGTGGTGAGTGGTTTCCCGTTCCTCCTTTAATGCAAATACTTCTTTTTGTATTTAAAGACGATTTTCTTAAAATGATCATGTTGAATCCAAATCACGTGACAGATACGCGAGAGGTTTCATTGTTATATTACTACTGTTGACGAAAATATTTGTTACATTGAAAAGGATGTGGACATTTATTAGCGAACACTAGCATCAGTGAGAGAAGACACTTTTACTGTTCGGCAGTCCAAATCCTTGGAATGTATTATAACACCATCTATACACTATAATCGATCTGAATAATAGGACTATATGAACACAGTGGATATTTGTATTAATTTTTCCCTCGTATCATCCAAGGTTAGTGTTCTATCGTATACTGTCTTCGTTTATTACCGTGATATGTAGTCAATTTCTAAACTTAGAATATTGCTCTTTTAATAACGTTCAACTAGACGCTTATACCTATATCAAGAATGACAACTCTGATAGATAAATGATTATGAGAGTCGTTGCCCCGACGACCAGGTAAACTGATCCAATCAAATCAGTATTAATTAAGTGGCACTACTCTATAACGATGTGTGAATTAACACGTTTGTGGTAATATTTGACCCTAATCGTGGTACCTGTCAGGCTACTTTGTACAACCCGCCCTCACACGCTGTTCACATCGGAGATTTAATGCAAAGGACCTAGTTAGTATATCACGTACGGAAAAAACATAATTCATAATACATAATTACCTTATTGTGATTATTCTGAACTAAAAAATCAGAAGTAGTAATGACGTAGAACAGGAAAAAAATTAAACATAAAAACTTAGTACTGAACTCCAAGTTAGATTTAAAGATTGCCTGGTATACTGACTAAACATTGAATAGGTCTGCCCAGTGTTTGTTCCAATGCTGTACTTTTGTTACTTATTAATAGACTTTTAGAATTAAAGTACTTAACACATTGATGTGTAATAAATTATTGGGGAAAATGTAACGTATTGTTATTGTTTCACTCAGTACAGAATGGAAAGAATTTCCAATACAATATTGTGTGTTTTTCAATAGCTTTTCAGAGATGTACTATCCGTAATTAAATACCTATAATATTTGTATTACATACCTTTGTGTTTTTCCTGACAGCTCAGCTGATTTAGTTGAACTCTTCCCTTTTATATACTACCAATAATCACTTCAACTCAGTCAGATGGAGAACAGTAATTGCATCGTCCTTGAAATGCATATTGATTTCCAATTCCTAAGCTACGATAAAATGACTTTCGTGAATGCTCTGTCAATGAAAGCTCTTTGCTATAACGATCTTTAAGTTTAACAGATGAAGGGATACGAATCTCACGATTCCTATTGGATTTATAGACGTCATTGTAACCAAAGTATTCTTTCTGGTTCTGGTAGTAGCTAACGAAACTTCCCCAAGGCATTTTACTATCGTTTCTGGCTATTTTAAATTAGGATATTAGTGTAAATATGAGGATGTAGGTTTCGATGAGCCTATAAATTTTGCTCAATCTTCTGCTCCTACAGAAAATATCTTCTCTCATCAAATCAGATGTCTCATGTTTTTTTCACTGCAATACGTCATACCAGCTTTATGTAACTTTTTCGTTATATTGATACAAAAACTTTCTTTGTCGTAATATGGTCAGGAACTACAAGTATACCGAGACATGTGTTAAGTAAGACGGCTTAGATGATAGGATAGGTAAATTGTGGAGATTATTGAAATATTATTGAAATTAATATTTACGATATCGTTCTTTCATCTAATGGTGTGTTCATTGTGAAATTATCATTGAATATTCTGAACTGGGTGTAGGGTGTTGTTTATGCCATGAATTACATCAGTGATACATGATATGTATGTCCAGGAGCCAAATGTGTCATGATGAAAAAAGAAATCATTTCTACAATATGGAGTCTTCAACTGAACAACAAAAAATTCCAACATGTTGTTAGTTAATATAAACTGAGTTACAAATCCAAATTAAATGAAACTAAGACAAAACAAGGACACAAGCAAGATCTACACAGATACTCCTGAAAAAGAGAGTGCCGTCTGCTTCTTCGAAGGCATCCGACAGATAAATCTTGGCCAATTCATGTAAGTACTGTCTTGTCCCCAACTACTAAAGCATAGGACGAATTACTAGGATGATACTATTTGGTGTCGTGCACTGAGAGAAAACCTAATAGGTTACTATTATTATACTACAGGATGTCAAACACTGAACGGAAAATTAACGAGTTTCTTCAAAAGAGTGTTTTACACTGAAGAAAGTTAAGGAGTAAGTTTGGCGATCAAATAAGAAATTGTACAATTGGGCTATTGTACTGTAAAAAGGAAATAAAGGAATTGAGGATAGGAAAAGATGACTCAGGAATTAAAAAAGGTGTATTACATTATACAATATTAAGCCGTATTATAATGATAAGAGGGTGATTAAGTCACTGTGAATAGAGACCCTCTGAATGGTTCATGAGCTGCAGTATCACACTCTAGTATTTTCTGCATTCTATCGTTAATCATGCCTAATTGTAAAAATCTAGGTTACTTGTGATAATAAAATTTCTAAAATTCTTCGTCTATTCCCATTTACGATTGTCTGATTTTTGTTCTCTTCATCTTAACATAAATGTATGTAATCTTTACACGTCTAAGAGTTTGTATTAAAAATCTTTATCGCGAAATTAAATATATCTGTTAGCTATTTAGTGATAAAACAGAAATGCAAGACGATCCTCCCTGCAAAATAGATGATAGCACTATACAATGTAGGCAGGTTATATACTTCAATATCGAATATAAAAAAACTTAGCACAATTCTAAGTATAGTATTTCATTGTTTAAGATATACGCGGTGTATTGGTGTAACTAATACTCCCATGATATTTGACCCTATCCAACTGATACAATTCATAGGGTCTTTTAGACAATTGCTGTGTAGCGCGTAAGGTATTTTATGTATTGATAGACTTTTGAAATCAGAAACAAATACGATATAATACACACACATGAAGATAAGGTTATACCTAAAGGATATAAAACTGTTTTTCACAAATCAAACTACACGGTAATCAATGACACAAACACACACTCGGGACAGTGCATAAAGGCATTTGAGTTATCTCCCTTACCTTAGGTCGAGGTGTCGTCTTCGGTTGTTCCTGCGGGGTTGACTTTTTGGGAGAGACATTCCGCTTCTCAGATTGCTGTTCTTTTTTCTCCACAGAATTTTCATTTTTCTTTTCGCCTTTGACCGTTTCTTCCTTTGGGTTTTCACTAGGTTTCAGTTCCGGTTTCGTGTGTGGTCTTGGTTTCTGTTGTTGCTGGAAATCCTTTCTGGCAGGCCAGTGATGATAGCGGAGTTTTTCTCGGTTGTATTGGTTAATTGATGGGTCATATCCAATAAAGTTAGGGTCAACACCTTTCTTTATTTCCCCTCTCTCTACCTGTTTCCTCCAAGCATTCATCGGAGTCTGATCTTCGAATGGTTTGACCGGTTCCTCCAACCATTCGATAGGACTTCCGTCCCTCCCTGTAAACGGTCCATTTGGGGGCCAGTGATGATATCTCCATACATCTCGTACAACTCTACTTCCCTCTCCCATTCTAGTATGTCACACAGCCAATTAACACAACCAGAAAAAATCCACTATCCAGTATTAAAACAAAGATCCAGTTGTCATGGATACAGGTGTTTTAAGACGGACTTTAACAGTTGTTCTGGTACTTACACCAGTACAAATATACCCGGTTGATCCCTAAGATTTCTTTGGTGGTAGTGTGTGATCCGTTGCCTTCTATTGTCAGGTAGATCAGTTTGAAAGACGGAAACTCTATCTCCGTACACGACCGGTGATCGGTGACAATACACCGCTCTGTTTAAGACCCCGCATTGTACAATAATTAATTACAAATCCAGGTTGAAACCTCTGCTAAAACTGAAACTTTAAGTTTGTTGAAATTGCAGTACATTTTTAATTCAGTGTTTCCTTTTACAGAAACAACTAATTTTAATTTGTCTCTCAGAATCAATTTTCGCGATCTAGCTGTATGCTATCGCTGTTAAGACGTGCTGGCTGCATGTTCAGAACTATATTTGTTATTGTATGCAAAAAAGGAACGAAATGAGGACTTTAAAGATATGCAGCGTGTTGTCTAAAGGTATACAATGTGGCCGTGTGTTTTGACTGATCTCACACATGATACTGGCCTTGATTTCCATCCTATGTTTTATCGTAATGTGCGTCAACTCTTCAAAGGCGTTGGACGAGATGATAAGGTTGTGTTTAAAGGTGTTTAATCCAGTGTCGTGTGACTCTAACGTTCAGCCTAGCAATCATGCAAAATGTAGTGCAGATTATTACACATATGTAGAATAGTAGGCCACCCTAGTTTGAGTAGTAACTAAATTATTGTATCCGCTTAAATTTTCAAAGTAAATTTACGTTTCAGATAGATTAAGTGAGAAATGATTAGTTTGAGGATTGACTTCCGGCACCTCATAGACAACATACCTGATATTAAAAAAAAAAAAAAAATATTTTCATCTCGCTAAAAAAATTAGTATAAGTTACATTAACTGAACAGTATTATCATGCCACTCTTTAATGCTAAGAGTTATTGGCATTCCTAGCGATAAATAAAAGTATTGTGAATGCTTTTTCCGTTTGTTTAAATCATGTATTTACCGTCATACTCGCTGAAAAGTCGATCTTAGTTGGTAAACTCCAGTCTTTTCTGTTTTGCCTTCGTTAATATCGACAAATCATGAGACTGTATACTTACAAATTGTCTTTTTTATAGGCAGAAAATTTACAAAATAAAAAAAGACATTATGAACAATGTATTATTGAATGTACAGAATCCATTCATACTGATCTTTGTATCAGGATTGAATTGTTTTATTCATATCCGCTGTGAGATATGGCGCGTTGATTGACAAATTTAAAAGCAATATTAGCGCCTGGGCTAAGAACTTGAACCCCAGGTTACCACGATGTCAAAATAATTTGCCCAGTTGTAACAAACGATTATAAGCATGTTTTCGAAAATAAATCCTACTTCTTAAGATATTTACAAACTGAAAACCGGTTAGTTTGGGAGTAAAATAAGTATAAACTAGGATCACGTATTATAGCAGTTAATTGTTGAACTCGTTAGATTTCATGAGAACATTAATGTAGACGGTATCGAATTGACGATCTCAGGACAGAGCAAGAGCAGCGAAACATCGGATATCTGTAGCTATACGGGTAGTTTACTACTAAAGATATTTTAGTAACATAATTCTGCGGTTTGTTCGTTCTGAAGGAGATTACAAGAATAGATAAAGCACCTGTGGTGTACCTCTTTATAGGTGAATTGACGGTTCTTTCTTTACCCGACACAGACACTAAATTGATTCAGTATTAATCAAACCATAATGACATTAGCATTGGGATGGTAACTTTTCATTCTTTACAGAACAGTGTTATATGTATCGTTGTGTGTATGGGAAACTGTAATGTATTATGAGTGGAAAATACGTAGAGAAAATATCAGGATATACTTGTGACTTCTGCATAAGTGCAAGAACTGTGGGTGCTTCCGGTATGAAGCTGCTAGAATTATAACAGTGCTGCCTCCTGTTATGAATGATCACATCTAGACTTAGGCTGGTAATCGGGAAAACAACGACGGACACAGGATATCAACTGCGTTTGACGGTCTCAACCTTCCTCTTTTATCCCATTTCATCAAATGAAATCTTTCTTCGCGATAAATTGATTGAACCCTTAAAAAGCAGTTGTGATAATCATAATATGACTAGTTTTATTGGATCCTCATCGACAACGGGAACTTTGAATTAGTTGTCGGTGTGAACACATTTTCTTATTTGTCAAATGGATGATATGCAAAGAAACATTTTTTTGAAATAGAGAAATTTAACTTATAAAACTCTATCATTTGGTGTTGAAAAAAATGAACGGCGAACAAAATGTTAAAAATTTACTGTTTATATTTGCGTGAGGACAGGTCGTGATATAGTGTCACCTGTCTGTAGTTGCCCGTGATATAGTGTCACCTGTCTGTAGTTGCCCGTGATATAGTGTCACCTGTCTGTAGTTGCCCGTGATATAGTGTCACCTGCCTGTAGTTGCCCGTGATATAGTGTCACCTGTCTGTAGTTGCCCGTGATATAGTGTCACCTGTCTGTAGTTGCCCGTGATATAGAGTCACCTGTCTGTAGTTGCCCGTGATATAGTGTCACCTGTCTGTAGTTGTGATATAGAGTCACCTGTCTGTAGTTGCCCGTGATATAGTGTCACCTGTGATATATAGTGTCACCTGTCTGTAGTTGCCCGTGATATAGTGTCACCTGTCTGTAGTTGCCCGTGATATAGTGTCACCTGTCTGTAGTTGCCCGTGATATAGTGTCACCTGTCTGTAGTTGCCCGTGATATAGAGTCACCTGTCTGTAGTTGCCCGTGATATAGTGTCACCTGTCTGTAGTTGCCCGTGATATAGAGTCACCTGTCTGTAGTTGCCCGTGATATAGTGTCACCTGTCTGTAGTTGCCCGTGATATAGTGTCACCTGTCTGTAGTTGCCCGTGATATAGTGTCACCTGTCTGTAGTTGCCCGTGATATAGTGTCACCTGTCTGTAGTTGCCCGTGATATAGTGTCACCTGTCTGTAGTTGCCCGTGATATAGTGTCACCTGTCTGTAGTTGCCCGTGATATAGTATATAGAGTCACCTGTCTGTAGTTGCCCGTGATATAGTGTCACCTGTCTGTAGTTGCCCGTGATATAGAGTCACCTGTCTGTAGTTGCCCGTGATATAGTGTCACCTGTCTGTAGTTGCCCGTGATATAGTGTCACCTGTCTGTAGTTGCCCGTGATATAGTGTCACCTGTCTGTAGTTGCCCGTGATATAGTGTCACCTGTCTGTAGTTGCCCGTGATATAGTGTCACCTGTCTGTAGTTGCCCGTGATATAGTGTCACCTGTCTGTAGTTGCCCGTGATATAGTGTCACCTGCCTGTAGTTGCCCGTGATATAGTGTCACCTGCCTGTAGTTGCCCGTGATATAGTGTCACCTGTCTGTAGTTGCCCGTGATATAGAGTCACCTGTCTGTAGTTGCCCGTGATATAGTGTCACCTGTCTGTAGTTGCCCGTGATATAGAGTCACCTGAATGTAGTTGCCCGTGATATAGATTCACCAGAATCACCTGTCTGTAGTTGCCCGTGATATAGTGTCACCTGTCTGTAGTTGCCCGTGATATAGAGTCACCTGCCTGTAGTTGCCCGTGATATAGTGTCACCTGCCTGTAGTTGTCCGTGATATAGTGTCACCTGTCTGTAGTTGTCCGTGATATAGTGTCACCTGCCTGTAGTTGCCCGTGATATAGTGTCACCTGTCTGTAGTTGCCCGTGATATAGTGTCACCTGCCTGTAGTTGCCCGTGATATAGTGTCACCTGTCTGTAGTTGCCCGTGATATAGTGTCACCTGCCTGTAGTTGTCCGTGATATAGTGTCACCTGTCTGTAGTTGCCCGTGATATAGTGTCACCTGCCTGTAGTTGTCCGTGATATAGTGTCACCTGCCTGTAGTTGTCCGTGATATAGTGTCACCTGCCTGTAGTTGTCCGTGATATAGTGTCACCTGCCTGTAGTTGTCCGTGATATAGTGTCACCTGCCTGTAGTTGTTACTTCCATTTTTTTCTTTGGTTGTTGTATGTATCGGTTAGGTCATCGCTGCTCTAGATTTATTTACGATATACTTGTAATAATGATGATAAAACTTAACAATCGACGATACAAAGATATAGATTGTTTGGATATCCCCGTGGATCTGGTGTCGGAAAATATCCGTGTAAGATATATCTCGGCTATTGGTGTTGATGTACGTATATGCCTTGAATGTCCATACGATGATTCTACAGATATTCGTAAACCTAGCTATGTTCTGTAAATTGTCAACAAATAAAGATTTAAGAATTCAATGAAATAAATAAATGAAAAATAAAATAAGATAAAAAATCGACAAGTCAACAGAATCTTAATTTAATTGCAAATTATTAGCAATTAGTGCAAGATATGGACAAAGAACAAGAATCCGGCCAGGATAAGTGTCACTGGATTTGTCGACGAGTGCCGCCATGTAAATCTTTGTCAGTGCAAGTAAATAATAGTACGTTCCTAAATGAGAACAGGGCATGCATCAGTTGAATCAGCAAGCATACTAACTAACAGCCAACACTTTCTATTTCATATTTCACAAAGAAATAGATTATTTCACGATTTTTGAAGACTGTAAAACTTTACCATAAGCTCATAATCTGCATCTCTCGAAACCATGTGTTGGTAGACGAAGTTAGATAGCGTCCTTTGTGTAGCTCTCTAACAATGGCAAATTAGACGTTCAAACTATTTTATTTTATCTTTTCTATTAAACACTATCAAAAAATACTTTTGGGAATAATTTTCCGGAAACTTTTTACAACAATGAGCGTCCAGCGAGGGTGAACCAATATTTCATTTTTATATACGAGTTATCCCCCTTTACATACCATAGCTAAGTGGCAAACCTAAAAGCCTTATTACATAGTAATCTGGGGCCCC